TTAAATAGTACCCGCAGGAGCCTGTTTGTGCTCCTCTGAAGGGAGTAGTACACACCGTTGGAGGAAATCTTCAATTTCTTAGCAATTTCTCGCATGGAATAGCCTTCATTTCTAAGAACAAGAATAGCTAATGGCCATTTTAGCATTTAATGAACCCACAAATGTGATGCTCCAGAAACTCAATCTGCTCAAAGGAAGGTCAGTTTTGCAGCTTCAAACCAGACATTTGAAGCTAGAATAGTCATTTACCATAAATAAATAAATATATATATATATATATATATATATATATATATATATATATATATATATATATATATATATATATATATATATATATGCGATGAAGATGGCAATGATGGTGGATTATGAAGATGGTGAAGATGATGATGATGATGTGTGTTAATTTATATCATGTAACAGTCTTATATTTACATTTGATCACCGCTGCACTTGATAGCTGTACTGAACAAAATGTCTTTTTGTACTCTCTCTGTACAAATGAAGTGACAATGAGGTCTGTCTAAGTCTAAGTCTGAGTCTAAGTGTGTGTTTCCAGACTGTAACTGTGACCCAGATGGCAGCTCTTCTCCTCATTGCTCTGATTCTGGTTTCTGTCGCTGTAAACCTGGAGCCACAGGGAGGCGCTGTGATTCCTGTCTTTCTGGTTTCACCTGGCGGGGAGGTGGAACTGGATGCACAGGTATGATTAGTCTGACCTTACCTGACCCACCTAATTAGATCAACTCCTGATATTATAGGATTGTCCATAAATAAGTATTTGTTCTCAGAGAACGTATGTGACACGGAACGTCTCTGTCAGAACGGTGGAACCTGCGTTGATTTCCAGCGCTGCGTCTGTCCAAATAACTCCACAGGTAAAGAGACAACAATACAATGACACAGCTCAGGTGTTATGGGCGGAGTCTGATCAGTCCAACTGTGTGATGTCGTGGGTGTGCAGGTCAGCTTTGCGAGCAGAGTGTCTGTAAGGAGAAGAGTGGCTGCATCATAAAGGCTGAGGGCTCCTCCTCCTGCATGACATCACAGCTTTACCTGGTGACCTTCAGTTTTATCAGCTACACTTTCAGCTGACCATGCCCCCTTCACCAACCATGACATCAGCAGTACAATAAGGGCAATAAAGATAAATGATCCAAATGAAGGGTTTACTGAGTCTTTATTCTAACTGAAGACTAAAGCGGAGACTGTTCCAATCATCAAAAGGTCCGATCACACAGAACTACCTAATCCTCCCTGCATTACCCAGAATCCTCTCTGCATCACCCAGAATCCTCCCTGCATTACCCAGAATCCTCCCTGCATTACCCAGAATCCTCCCTGCATTACCCAGAATCCTCCCTGCATCACCCAGAATCCTCCCTGCATCAC